ATCTGAAACTAAATTTGACTTAATTGGATGCCTAATTAATTTTTTATGAATTAATTAAAATTTGGACCGAATTAGTAGGCATGTCTAGCCAACCACACCACACGCGTCATCACCTTCAATAGCTGCGCCATCACGTAATGGCTGCGTTCAAAAACCATTGCGCGCCTACTGAACGTGATGTTCAGTAGGCGCGCAATGGTTTTTAGTCATGTAACTCTATTGTAAATAAAACATGTAAAGTACTGAAAAAAAAATTCATAAAAAATTCGTTTTAATAACAAGCTTTTATGTAATGATGCACTAAAAAGTAGAAAATAAATTATAGACTACTATTTAAATAACTATAAAGAAAAGCGTGGGTGTCTTCCTTAACATTAGTAAAGGTATCCAATAGATACTAAAGTGACCCACGCTTTTCTTTATAGTTATTTAAATAGTAGTCTATAATTTATTTTCTACTTTTTAGTGCATCATTACATAAAAGCTTGTTATTAAAACGTTTTTTATGAATTTTTTTTACAAGCTTTTATTTAGTTCGCAAAGTCTGTACGTGGGTTTGTGGCAAATCTTGTAATTCAATTTTGACCCATTTCTAATACAGCGGTTTCGTTCAACCCTTACAGAAACGTTCTTCTTCGATGACAATGCAAGGATATCAGTTTTTTTTTTTAAATTTAATCAGAGAGACAATTTAATTTAACAAATTACTATATTGAAATTTAAAGGAAGAAAAAAGATAAAGTACAAGCTAGCGATCGCCTATCAGAGGACCGTTGTGTGTGAACTGTCCTTCATGGTTGGCTGATTTTACCCTAATTTGTCCTGGTATCCTTTGTCCGTGAGATCATTTGTCCTTGAGATCATTTGTCCTGAGATCATTTGTCCTGAGATCATTTGTCTGTGAGATATTTTGTCTGAGATATTTTGTCTGAGATCATTTGTCCTGAGATCATTTGTCATGGAACCATATATATATATATATATATATATATATATATATATATATATATATATATATATATATATATATATATATATATATATACAAACCCCATTCCAATATTTATCCCTAAACATAATTCTAAGATTCAACGAAATTTAACAGACTTTCAACACATTGTCTAACACAACAATTGCTACTTTAATTTCTTTATTTGCTACTTTAATTTCTTAATTTGCTACTTTATGTATTTGTGACGACATGCTCTAAATGTGCTACACAGTTGATATGTGATAATAAACTGTTGCGATACCCACAATGTGAGTGCGTGTTTTCAGGCTCAGATTCAAGGGAGGAAACGCATTCATTATATACATGATCGTAGCTACTTTTTCTTGTCTCCCCATAAGGTTTGTTATTTTAAATATGTAAGGCTAATAAAAATATTAAATCTGCTTTAGTTTAAACATTTTTAAGGGCAACAGACTAGTAACAAACTGGGGATAACTCATCACAAAGTGGACTTTCTTGTACAATAAACTAATGGCAAAAATGGGCTACCTAGTCAATATACTTTTTACAAAGTAAATGAATGATACAATGAGATTAACTAGCGCAACAAATATATATATATATATATATATATATATATATATATATATATATATATATATATATATATATATATATATATATATATATATATATATATATATATATATAATAAAATGCGTATTTATATAGCAATATTTGTAAAAGTATTTTTTAAGTTTTATATTTAAAGTATTTTATTTATACAAGTTTTTAGCAGTTATTTTGCGATTTTTTAAATTCATTTCTTTACTCAGAAAATGCTTTATAATGCAATTTGGAAGTTGGAGTGTAGGCAGAAGAGCGAAGTTATCTTAAATTTGGGGGGTTAGTCTCTTTGTGCGATGTATGACGATGAAAATGGTGGGGTAAAATCATCAAATTTTGAACTAAATTATAAGTACAATTACCAAATCAATTTATATTTTGATTGAAATGATAATTATTTACAATTGATTATTATGCATTATTATAATATACATGATTTTAAACCTTAAAAAAATATGTGCCATACTAAGAGAGATAATCGTGTTTTTATTGTTTTGCGCTCATTTTTATATAGGCTATCCTGCTTTGAATTTTAAAATTGTTTTAAAAATAAACCGGGAGTGATCTCCCCTAAACTTTCTCGAATATTCTTATATAAAATAACAGGGGATGGGAACTCGGGCTATAGACATGATTTTTAATCCATTTTAAATACTTAAAGTTTTAAAAATAGAATAAAATCTCGTAGACAAATTTATTGCACACCAAGTGAACGCGAAATAAAAAAGCGCATAATAGTGCGCAATATTATTATTACTTTTAAAATTTACATTAGTTTTTTGAGAAATCGGAAGTAGCGTAAAGTACTACTTCCAGTCAACGGAAATGACTCAAAATTTAATAGAAGGTAGAGAATTAGATCTTTTACTTACGTATGAAATTTCATTTATCTATCTGAAATAGTACTCAAGTTATAGGCTTTTGAAAAATTCAAAGTAGGAAAAGTACCACTTCCGGTTATCGGAAATCGCTCAAAAGTTGATACGGATCTACGATTTTGATTAAATACTTATATATGAAATTTCATCAACCTAGCTGTAACGGTACTCAAGTTATCGTGTTTACACACGGACACACACACACACACACACACACACACACACAGACACACAGACATACGGACAAGATTGCAAAATTATGTTTTTCCGTATCAGTGAGATGCAAAACGTCGAGATTTGCAAAAATCTCGATTTTTTTTTTTTGCACGATTACAAGACTTTCTCTATACTTCGTATATACGAGAAAGTAAAAAGAATAAATATATGGTCAAAGGGAAACAAACATGAAATTATTTCTCGTAGTAGTTTAGCCGAGGTTATCATGATATAATATTTTAATTGATATTTAAATATCAATATTAAATTTAAAAATCGAAATTTATTTATTTATTTAATTTTACATGCAATAATATTGAAATATATGAAAAATAATTTTTACTATTAGCAATTTTTAATCAGCATAATGTGAATTTTTTAACTTATATTATCGTTGCATTTAAGTAGCTTTTTATATGTAAGGTTATTAATTAAAATATGAGATTATCATAATTTAATTAAATACTATCCAGAAAATACTACGCTTATAAATAAAAGGTTTTATTTTATTTTCAACACAATTGAACTAGGAGCGAAATAATTTCATATTTATTTCCCTTTGACCATTGTATTGCTATATGCAATAACCAAAATTAAAGCGGGATAATATCTAAAAACATAAACGATAAAACAATAAATATAATGTCAAATGAATATGTTATTTCATAGATAAATTTAAGGTAAATTGAGTTTTTTTCGATCAGCTTAATTTATTTTATATTATTTATGAAAATAGATTTATACTTTTTAATTTAACCATTTCTGTTTCAACTTAAAGCTAAATTAAGATTAATCTCCTTTAGTTTAAGTAATATAATTTGTAACGTTGTTAAGAAAAATAAGATTATCGAAATTGTATTGTGAAATATTCATTTAATTTTAACCTTGTGCTTAATTTCTTTAATCAGACGTTGAACAACTAAAATATTAAAGGGAGGTAGCATTGGCTAAACCATTGAGTGAAATAATTTCATGTTTGTTCCCCTTTGACTATAAAAAAATTTCTTTTTTTCCCTTTTTTTTGTGTGAAATTCAACGAAGGATCACCACCACCACCACCACCACCACTACTACTACTACTACCGCCACTACTACTACTACCACTAGTACTGCCACTACTATTACCACTACTACTACTTCTACTACTACTGCCACTGCTACTACACACACTCAATGCTCGCATTAAAATTGATATAGTAATGCCCCTCCTTATCTTGTGTCTACAATACTAACTTCTCCAATCCCCCCCCCCCCTTTTTTTTTAAATAATAAAATTTACTTTCCATGGGATTTTTAGATCACAATGTCATTTTTTTGTTGTAGTTGTAGGATGAGGCGTATCTTGATATTTAATGTTGTTGTACGACTTCTGATTTCGTTCCAGATAAATTGGTCTCCGGATTACAATACAAAAAAAAATCTTATTAGGCATTACGTTAGTGATTAAATCTTAATTTTAAAATTAATAAATCCAGTAATAAAAGGTGGAGATAAAAGATAATACTAGCAATTGGTGAAGTGTTTTTTTTTTCAAGAATGAGTGATTTTTGTCTTCAGCATCGACTGTGGACTAAGAAGGAGGAGATAACTGTCCTTTAGAGGACCACTGTATGGGAGGATTGAAGAAGATTTAGTTACACCTGTTTCTATCTTTGCCTTAATTAATTTAACTCAGGGTCAAATAGTGTACGGTAGTGCCGCTACTCAACAGTTGTGACGTAATTGTTTCTGTCATTGACTCCAATAAAATAAAATTATTTATTTATTCATTGGAAACCGTACATAGGTACAGTGCGGTCGGTTGGTAGAGCATGCGACTGATATCCGAGCAAGAAAAAAAAAAAAAAAAAAAAAAAATATATATATATATATATATATATATATATATATATATATATATATATATATATATATATTCGAGGGAAGGGCGACTTTTTTCCCAATCTTCGCTAATAATTATGTCTGCAGCTTCCGTTAGATTTAAATCAATATTTATCGATTAGTGTTCGGAAAGTTCTGTGTCTATTTTTAGATTGTAGTAAACATGACATATTTATGGCATAGGGCATGGCACATTATATAAGTAGCTTAAGGTTTGGTGACAAATGTAGTTATAAAATGTGAAGGGTTTGACGAGGAAGATGTTTGTTGTCTAGTGAATCAGAACATCTGGTCTATTATAGACTAGATGCTAACCCTAGTGTGACGGTAAGCGCCAACCCCCACCGCAGCTAAATAGGTCACTGTGAGTCATACTTACCTGGTTCGTATGACGTGTTACACTGAACTTCCTGGAAAGTTGGTTTCACTTTCAGAGACAACAATAAGCAGCCTTTTTTTCACCACAGCTACGGCTGTGTTTATTTGTTATTTATATTTGTGTTGTGTTGGTTGGTACAGTGTGTGCTGCGACACATTGATTTATTTACACACAGAATAATGGAGGACCCTTGATGCACAGCACAGGTCAGTTATTTGGTTCACGGTGTGTAAGCAGGATTGAGGGCGCTAGTCTATCTTATGGTAGTAAGTAAATTTACTTATTTTCAATGTGATCCTTACATATTATGTGCTTTAAATAGACGACATAGTTTAACAACGAACGCGCGATGATTTAACAAAATAGTTTTCACTACAGATATATTAAATATGTAGATTCTAGTGTTTTAAGTTGTAAGATTTTAACTACAGTTTGAAATGCTACAGATAAATTAAATATGTAGTGTTTTTGTTTTGAATTTGACAGCCATTGTCATTAATGTTAGTATTCTGCCTCCACTGCTCCATCCACTGCTCCATCCACTGCTCCATCCACTGCTCCATCCACTGCTCCATCTACTGCTCCATCCACTGCTCCATCCACTGCTCCATCTACTGCTCCATCCACTGCTCCATCTACTGCTCCATCTGCTGCTCCATCCACTGCTCCATCTGCTGCGCCATCCACTGCTCCATCCACTGCTCCATCTACTGCTCCATCCACTGCTCCATCTACTGCTCCATCTGCTGCTCCATCCACTGCTCCATCTGCTGCGCCATCCACTGCTCCATCCACTGCTCCATCCACTGCTCCATCCACTGCTCCATCTACTGCTCCATCTACTGCTCCATCCACTGCTCCATCTGCTGCGCCATCCACTGCTCCATCCACTGCTCCATTCACTGCTCCATCCATTACTCCATCCACTGCTCCATCCACTGCTCCATCCACTGCTCCATCCACTGCTCCATCCACTGCTCCATCTGCTGCTCCACACTCTGCACCATCCAGTGCTTCATCCTCTGTCCGTTTGGTCTCGTGTAGTGAACATACCGACAATCCTTTACGAAACAAAGGCCTGTTAACACTAAAACAGTTTAATACTATCTAAACAACACAAAATACTAACACAAACTAGTACATAAAAATAAGATAAAGTGCCTATATAGAAATACACAGAATTAACCTAGACTAGACGTAGAAGAAATGCACTGAACGATCATACATGTTCTCACACACATTTTATACACTTACACAAACAGGTACAAACCGTACTGGCACATCTCTCCGCAGGAGAATTGAAGAGGGATAGGGTACAAAGTACAAACAACATTCACCCCCATTCATCCCTTTCATTCATTCCTTACTACTGCTCTACAACGTTGCTGAAAGAACGGGTCAATCATTTTCCCCCCTCTGTTGTTTAGCAAACGACAACTATCATGGCGGCTATTTCTAAAGATACCCTAATCGGACGCATTCGTTTGTACCCGTCCATCTTCCACCACAAACCAGCAGGGACTGACACGAAAAGGCTGAGAGACATCCAGCTAAAGGTCAACGATGAGCTGGAGTACGACGATGACTGCTTGGACGAGCTGGTCTCCAAATATTTGTTTCTAACTTGGGTTGAATTCGAACTCGGAAACTTTGACAAATCTGAAGAACTCAGTAACAGAGCTCTAGAACTGACCAAAGGAAACAGTCTGACCGCATTGGTTCATAGTGCGTACGTCATGATGCGAAATGGCGATGAAATACAGGCCGAGGAATGTCTGGACAATATGCACGGGGTGAAAACCCAGGATAAGAGTGGTCTAGTTGTGACCACAGCACAGGCTGAGCTTGCGTATTCGCTCAGCAGGCTCGGGGGTCCCAACAATTTAGTGCGAGCCATTGAGATCTATACAGAAGTTACCGACAAGTTTCCTGACCAAATGTCGTGGAAGTATCGGCTTGGGTTGGCCCACAGGAGAGCTACAGTCCCCAGCTTGTTCTACATCCTACCAACACGATTCACCATAGAAGAACATGCGTCTAAGGCAAGATGCTTGCTCTTTGAGGTCGCCCAGTCCTCATTTGCAAGAGACCTTAGAGCCCACGCCTATGCCCAGCTTGCTCAGATCAGCCATTATGACGAGAAAAAGTTACCCAGAGCAGAACACCAACGTAGCTATAGTAACATGAGTTGCGAAGATTTGATCCAGATGGCGCTGAAGTTTGGCAGCAACGACGCGCGAACTCTTCTTGAGTGTGGGAAAATTCTGCGGTACAGGGATTTAGATAGGGCAATCGATCTGCTGGAAAAATCAATCGCTATTAAGAAACATGGTTTTGCTTATCATCAGCTGGGGCTGTGCTATGTGTATAAAGCCAACCGCAAACAACAAGCAGAAGTGTCGAAGTTAAAGACTGGCAAATATAGTGGACGTCGGTTGGATTTAAACACAGAAGGGTCGAGGAGGAATTCTATTGAGAACCCTCAGTGTAATCCTGACAACAGCCATAGAACACATCAAAACAACTACAACAGAATGGACCCTGACAAATACCTGAGCACGAAATCTGGAAATTACAATAGAACAAATTCTGGGGGCTATAGAACAACAAACAACTTTCACTCTACGAACCCAGTCAACCCCCACCGAACGAACCCAGTCGACCCTTACCGAACGATCCAATTCAACCCCCACAGAGCGATCCAATTCAACCACCACATAACGAACCCAGTAAACCCCCACAGAACGAACCCAGTAAACCCCCACAGAACGAACCCAGTAAACCCCCACAGAACGAACCCTGACAGTCTAACCAGCCTGACGTACCGTACAGGTGTCCGTCCTCCACATGAAGACGCTAAACCTGCACGACGTCATGACGCCCAGTATAAACCCCGATTTCAGAAAGATTGTAAAAAACACTCTTTTATTAAATCGCCGTTAAAACAAGCCAAACTTGGCCTTGATTGCGAGTTTGTAAAAAAGGCGATGTCTTGCTACAGTGAATCTATCAAGTTCTCATTCGAGCATAACACTCTAGCCATCTATGATCTGGGTCTTTTGTTGAAGTCTTGCGAGCAGCTGGACGATGCTGAGAAACAGTTCAACAAAGTCACGCATCGCTTGGACTCTATGTCCTTGAACTTCTCAAACAACGAAGATGAGATAACCAGTAGTCACGGACACTTCATTCTCGTCATTAGTGCGTATGAGCAGGCAGGTCTCTGTCTGCTCGAGAAAGCACAACAGGAAAAATGCAGCGAGTCGCAGAGTGAAAAGCGAATTAAATATTTGAAGGAGAGGGGCGAGTCAAAGCTGGTACAGGCTGTGAGTTTGTCGGCCATGTTGGTCAAGCTAAACACCGAGATGAAGGAACATTCGTCCCACATCTGGAATGCACTCAGAACACTTGAGACAAACTATGAAAACGAAGAAAAATCTCCACAGTCGATCAAAAAATTTATTGAATTACTTCGCAAGACCAACCATCACAAGAAAGTCTTGAATATCATCGAGAAGCTGAAGAGTTACAGCGATGATGAACTAGACGACCCTGTTGTCGTCAGTGCTGCACTTGAAAGCTATCTGGCCTTGAAAGACTATGAGTCGGCACTTGCGTTTTTAAACATGGTCACCATGAGACCTAATGTGGATATACGAGAAGTGGGCCAACTCGTCACTTCCGTTCAGACATGCGCAATCGCCAAAAGACTTCAGAACAATGAGAGCGGTGCGCAGCTGATAATGAAAACAGTTTTTCATCAGCACACCAGTGGTGGTGGTTGTGGTAGTGGTGATAGTTGTGGAGCATCAAAGGACGAGGTAACTAACAAGTCAGAAGTCATACCACGTGACCTCGACGTCATCGTTATCTATGACGACTCCCACGACGTGGAGAGAGAAGAAAGCGACATCACAAGAACTGCCAACCAACTCTGTCGTGTCTTAGAGAAAACATTTGGTCTCGCTGTAAGCTGTAACTTGAAAGTAAGAAACTGGAGCATGTATTAAAAACATTGTAGTTTGGCTGACAGTGTTTATTATTTTAGTTTTTTTTTTGTAATGAATGTCTAAACTTTAAGGCAACGGTCGATTAAATTATGATTCTTCAGAAACATTAATGTGTTTTTATGTTCTACTTAATGAGTTAATGCATGTTAAATTTTAGAATGTTAACTTGACTTTGACAGGACTGTTGTTCTGGAGGGAAAAAGATCGATCTGCAGTTTGAGGAAATGTTGAGGGCTAAGGTAGCATTGATTCTCTTGGGAGCAGAGAAACCAAGACATAGGTGGGTCATTAGTTCGTCTAACTTAATTAAGCGTCAGAAAATTGTGAGAAAATCAATAGATATGATAAGCTGGTTCCAAATGGTTCCAAATTTTTGTTGCCATATATATATATATATATATATATATATATATATATATATATATATATATATATATATATATATATATATATATATAATGTGACGATGTCTGCGTGGTCACGTGCGTGCGAGTTATGAGAACAAAAAATTGAATTTAAAGAGACACAATATTGAATATTTGTGTAATAAGTAGGCCTACAAAATTACTCCTGGTTTCATTAAGGCTAGAAATAGTCAAAGAAATAATTACTTATAATATCATAGTAATTTAGCAAACACTTTTATTTTGGATTGTAGAGTCAGGATTTTGTGGTGATTGTGTATGTTATATTATTTAATATAATTACAATACTAGGATATACACCATAGATGACTATTGTGTATTTTTATCATGGAAAACAATTGTTCTGACATCTATTATTTTACTCTCCTTGGCCATTAAGGTAGGGGTTGAGGGCAGTTTTTGAAAATATATGAATTGATAAAAATATTTCTAAACGGCTATTTAACTGCGTATATTCGATACAAAAATATATAATGAGTGTAATCAATGTTTCCCAAACGGCTTTAATTTTTACAAATGTTACTATAATTTTATCTCTTTCCATATTTAAAAAAATATTTTTTCAAATATTTAGTATGATTACATAGACTTTTCCTACCTACTGTGGTGCCCCAACTAACCCAATAAGGGTTAAGGAGATAATTCAATGATTGAATGATTGAATGCTTATCAAAATGTCTACTTCAGAAGTGAAGTTTTAAATCAACTTGTCACTATTAAGTTTAGTAACAAACTAAAAATGTATCATTTGATTCTACTCTGCAGCTCCTTTCAGATCTTCCTGGACAATATTCACTACGAGCTGTCCGAACTTGCTGAAAGAGGTGGAGACGTGCCTACAGTGTTGCTAGTGTTTGCTGCCCAAGGATCCGACCTTGGCGTTCCATCGTTATCCTGCTGTAGACAATTTCGTCTGGACGACATCTTGGCTGACATCAATAATTATTTACAGGAAAAAGAAAAAAATTCAGGCCAGGAAGAGAAAGACGAAGTTCCCATTTTGGAAGATAACTCTAGTGAGTTTAGTAAGGGAGTTAACGCTGTCATGACTCTGTTTTGTTCACTCGTAGACCAGAAATGGCCAATACGACCTGCCAGTGTTTTAACAGTTGTGTGAATGTGTGAACAGCTTGACTGATTAGAGAAAACTCAGTAATGTGATACGCTTGGTAGTGTGTCACTCTATTATCAGTAGGTGCACTTGGACTTCGCCAAGAAAATGAAAATAAAAATGTAGAGATATTACAGGCAGAGATTCACACACAGGAATAAGTTACATATTTACCAGCTTAAAAATTACTGCTACTCACATATAGATAACCTCTACATCCTTTCCTCCACAAAACATTTTAGCAGAAAACCGCCCCACTCTCACCTTTTGGCGTCACTAGGTCTGGTTGCTGACTCCATTTTTACGCTATCCAGTTCTGCCACAACTTTCTGCTCATTAATTTTTACCACACTGATAAATTAAAATGTGGTCTACTATTTATGAAATATTTGTCCAGTGAATAAGTAGGAAATGTGTGCCATAGAATGTACTTTTCTAATCTCTCAGACATACATCCATTTATTCCGCTTTTGAAAAGTTCAAAAATTTCTATAAATTAAGTGTCAATTGTAAACTTGGTGTATATAGTATTGACAATTTCCCATAGTATTTAAGTATTTGTGTTCGTGTCTTCTTCTTCTTCTTCGTTCTTAAATTTTAGTGTTGGGAGGGATCGAGCCTTTTCTGCCCGAAGGTTTGAACTTGAGACTTTGTCGAATTTATCAACCATTTTGGTTGACCACGCCTCCATCACAATTATGGGTATGCGCCAATCGGAGTCCATTGACTCCAACTTCAGCCTGCTTTTATTTTTGGATTTGCTTCCATAGCCTTTGTCAGTCCAAGAACAAACTACAAGGCAGCAGTAGTGATTTTTTAGGCTTATCTGCCCGAGGATTCGAACTCGAGACTTTTCGGCTTAGCAACCATGAGCTTTACCGACTTGACCACGCCGTCCGCCTGTGTTCGAGTGATTTCAAATGTTTGGCTAGGGTTTCTTTCATCTTTGATATCTTTGAGTGAATAGATTCAATTTATCATTGAGGCATTTCTGTGTGGTACGCTGTAAAACGTCGATTGGGTAAGGTCCTGTATGTGAATCTATTGACTCCATGTTTTAAATAATTTTTTATCGTCTCTTGTCGTGTCTGAGACATTTGCTTCTAGTTTCCATGTTTCCTATTGTGTCGTTGTCGTCGGTCGCAAACCCGGCTAGTGGCGTTTGATTTAATTTTTGTTGTAGGCCAGGGGTCGGCAACCTTTTGAAGCGGAAGAGCCAAAAGTTACAATTTTCAAAATTTCCCTGGTTTTAAAGAGCCATTAACATTTTTTTTAAATTTCAAATGTTTTATTTTTTATTAAGATTATTAGTATTTGTTCAAGGAGCTGGAGAGCCGCATCTTGATATCAAAAGAGCCGCATGCGGCTCGCGAGCCGCAGGTTGCCGACCCCTGTTGTAGGCTATGAAATCCATTTTCAAGTCTTGTCATTTAGTAAAGGTGTCGGTCATTTATTTGGTTTGAATATGTCTCTTGTAGCAACATAAAGTTGGTTTCATTTTCGTATTTATGCTTTTATGTTTTTAAATATTTCGCCCTAGATGAGTAAGAGACACATGACTGATTGAACTTTTGTTAATTTTTGGTGCCTCATCGTTAGGGTGGAACCTAGTATAATACATGTTTTGTTAAAGTGGTTGTAGCTTTGTTTTGTTGTCTTGCTTGTCGCATGTGTTGGTTGCCTGTCTTCTTTTTTGCCTTGATGGCGTGTCTGGATTTTTATCTCTTTGGGGTTCCACTTTTTTGTTTGTCTGTTCGTTTGTCTGTTTGATTGTTTCTTGGTCCGTCTTGACCTCTCTCAAAGTGCTATAGTCTCAAATTGTAAATTGTTTGGGTGGCTAAACGGGTTTTATTTCATGCATCTTTTTTCCGTTGAGCACGTCTGTAATGTTGTTGTTGCATGTCGTTGACCAGTGGTCAGTTGAGCCACACTTGACACACACCTGACGATGCCTTGTAGTGTGAGCAGCAGCCAATAATTCTCTTGTTATTGTTGACTTGTGCTGGAAATATGTTCTGATGTTGTTGCATGTCGTTGACCAGTGGTCAGTTGAGCCACACTTGACACACACCTGACGATGCCTTGTAGTGTGAGCAGCAGCCAATAATTCTCATGTTATTGTTGACTTGTGCTGGAAATATGTTCTGACTATCATTGAGTGGGAAAAATAATCTATATTTTATATTGTCCAGAGTTTGTTTGCTATCTTTAAAAGGCCAAACATTTGACTATCTCATTGACCTTTTTCTTACTTGGCGCTGTGTGCAAGTGTAAGTTCGAGGTCTGTCAGCTACGTTTAAAAATATTTATGAAATATTCGTTTATAAAATTTGTTGGTTTGTGATCCTGAATTATAATTTTTTTCTCGATGAGCTACTTATTTACGTTCAGCGTTAAGAAAAACTAAAATAAATTTCACATGACTGTCTCTAGGTACCTGAGTTCTCATCCAGTTACTGATTTTATGACCGTATCCGGTCAAAACTTCTATTGTGAGATGCTAACGGTATAGAGCAGTATTATAGAGATTTATTGATAACTTCAGCTAAGTGACATAATGTACACCACAACAAGGATTTAAACTCAAACACTGTATTTTCAATGAGATAATGCTATTGATGTTGTCTGTATATAACAATCCAATTTACCAATTGAAAATATACGTAATAATTTTAAGCAAACACAGATTAAATTCCGAGAGCAATAAAAGTTGGGTATCCAACTCTATAATACAGAAATTAATCATTGCATCTCTTGTGCTGTCAAGTTGAAAAGTGTTTTAAAATCGTTGTGGTTGCATTCAACTAACAAACTCAAAGTTAAACTACATGAGCCTCCCGGAAGTACAATGGTACGGTTTTGTATTCGTACACTGTGGCGGAACTACTGTTGCCCTGAACTCACTAATGTGGGATGGGCATGGAATGGGGGGGGGGGGGGACACAGTTAAACACATACACTATTGTTCCAAATAATTTTGGGGGTGTAGGGGGGTATATCTTTCCTAGTTCCGTAGTTCCGCCACTGGATATCACTCAAAGAAAGATCTTTTAATAGTTGTATTCACCTGGAGTTTTTAAAAAATCGGGTCAACGAGAAAACGTTCAATGTGAAGAACATTTCTCGCATTGCATCTCTCCCCTACAGATTCACCCCTATTGATTTTTATATTAGAGATGGAAAACATACACACGGGGAAATCAGTGAGACTATCACATTACTAAAAGACTAAAGGCTGAATAGATTTCTTTTCAAAATACTGTTTTTACTGTTTGCATATTTTTGTAATATTTTAGTGATAGCGCCATTTCTCACTTTAATTCATAAAATATCAACGTCACGGAATTAAATCCAAATATTTTAATAAAAAAGTGAACACCACATCCGTTTGTAATCCGAATAATGTTTTTAGTTTTTAAAACAGATGCAGTAGTGGGCACAGTTAACATTTTGAATTAGTCTTTAGATTAATAAGAGGAATAAATGTAAATTAAAAATAATTTCTTAGTGTGTGGACAAAACAGGTGTAGACATTTATTTATGTCATCTACGGGTAGGTAAATATAGTTAGTAATTAGCGCTCGGTTCCACTACAATACAGATCTACTTTTTAGCGCGTTGTATAGTTTTATTCAGTACTTGATTGGAGCTATAGTACATGGCTCCACTTATGTTTGTAGAACTGCCAACAGTAAATTTCCTTTTTGGACCTGGCGATCCACGGGGAAGATGAAGTAGAGTTCACCTATTTCTGTGTTAAAAACTGTTTACTAATTTGCTACATGAAGATTCCATAAGCGACATTTTAGAATCGCACGGTTTTTTTTAACAATTATTTTTCCTTTTTACTTTCTCGTATACAAAGTATACAGAAATTTTTGTAATTGTGCAAAAAATCGAAACCGAGATTTAGGATACATCTCGACGTTTCACACCTCACTGAGTCGAAATAAAAACCCTTAGTTTTTTTGCATATACACGATAACTTGAGTACCATTTCAAGGTATGTTAACTTAAGTACTTCAAATTTTGAACGCTTTTCAAAAACCAGAATCGATACTTTACTCGATTTCCGTGTGAACACTATAACTTGAATGGGGCCTACTATTTCAGTTATGTAGACGAAATTTCATATATAAACTTAAGATTTTATATTTCAAATATTTTTAATTTTTGAGTGACCTCCCATGATTGGAAGTATTTCTTCACTCTATATCTGGTTTCTAAAATACCTAAAATAACTTTTCACGTAGGTCTAGACTCAATGACAATACATTGTGACAAAAATGTTGCTGAATTTGATGTTTCAAAAAATCAATAAATGTTTCCTTTATAAAACACTATTTTTACGCTCTATTATTTATCCTTGTCAATTATTTTACTCTACGTATTTCTATCTCTATACTATAGGTTACTACTACAAGTCAGAAGTTTGTATTTTTTTTTACTTTTTTTTTTCTTACGTTTGTCTGTTTCGCTTGATCAGAGCATCTGCACTATGTGTAAAACTGTAAAATACCTATTTATGTTGAGAAACATGTTCTTTGTATTTCCCAAAATGTTATACACAAATTTATTTAAAGACGATAATTAATTTATTGATATATTCATTGGTAGAAACAGCCATTTAATTATAAAGGTCCAGAACAGATACTTTATTTTCTTATTTTCACAACAAACATGGCTTTAATGAAAGACCATTTTGCACATTCAAATATTTAATGCATTATAAAGCTAAATTATAGCTTTAACGATACGTCTTTTTCTTATTTTTATTAGGTTCTAACACTGTTATTAATTTTCAATAGGATACGCTTGACAGTTCTTCTAATTTGAGTGTATAATAATAATAATTTATCTAGATCTACCGATAAACTAGAGTTAAGCTGTGGGAAAAAAGTAGGCCAAACCTCGTTCATTTGTTATAAAGAAAAACAAGTACAAAAACGCATTAAATAATTGAGTTTTTTTATTAAACTATTTTTATTCATTAAATATTTTAAATAAATCTTTATTTTTAGCAATATAATTCAAAATAATATTTGACTCGATTTTACTTTCTTACGGAGGCTAATTAAAATAACTTTATATATTTTCTCTAAGCATGTATCTGGTTGTTTTGCAGAGTCAACAGTATGTTAGACACTCTTTTTTAAAGTTGCGGGTTCGAAACCGATGCAGTCATAGTTTTTTCTTAAGTTTTTTACCTATTTCAGTGTTTTTGATTTTGTTTAGTTGTTAGTAACCGTGTGACATTGGGGAGGGGGGAGAGGGAGATTAAAATCGTCAAGAAGCGTAATGTAATTTATGAATGACCCCAAAACTCACAGTTATCCAAGGATAACAGGTGATTTAGTTCTATTTAAAACAAGTAATATTCGAGACAGTTTCATTTAAAACGTACATTTAAATAAAAACCACTGTTTTAACATGTGATAGCTTTAGATATGTCATGTTTATTATGTAATTTTTAATGAATTAAAATCGGTACTATGCCTATAACAGTTTTTATATTTGTGTTATTTATTTAAACAATTGGTGTAACAAATTAAATTCCTAGAATTTTATTTTATTTTAACAGGGTGTAGGCTAGACAACCTTTAACCTTCCCCTTATATCCTTGACCTATAGTGAAAGAAACTAAGAAATGCTGGGGCAAACAGCGAATCTAGTGAACCATGACAAGATCTGCAGTTTGTCAATAGCTAAAATCGATTTGTACAAATTGATATTCGATATTCGTAACTCATTTTTTTAAGAATATGATTATGACTGTATAATGATTTTAAAAATCCACACGATTTAATAAACTAAAAGAAGTTTTAAGTTGAACGAGGCAATTAAAGGTTACTAATTTGCTATGCGAGCTTCAACGGTCGACAAAATGTCTCACTGTCATAATCAGAGACCCCGTTACGTCACAGTTCCAAGGTTAGAGCAGAGATGTGTCACTTATTGGATCAGGTGACGTGCTGTCTTAAAATTAGAAGTTACACAGTGTGTAGTTACAAGATAAAGTCATACTGCAAGTCGTCAAGGAACCAGGCAGCCCTAGTAAAAATCTTAAATAACCCATTGTTCTGATCAATCAATCGATGATTTTAAAAGGACGTAGATGGCAGTAAGTTCGATAGATCAGTTTAATTCTTTGATAAAGGTTCAGTAGTAGCGAAAAGCTAGTTTTGAATAGTTCATGTATACATGCATTATTAATTCATTCGTTTGTGTATAGGCTACATATTTAGCATATGCGGATTTGGATATTTTAGTGGTTGATGGCTTATATCCAGAGGCGGATTTCCAACTCGGGCGGAAATATATATATATATATATATATATATATATATATATATATATATATATATATATATATATATATATATATATATATATATGTGTGTGTGTGTGTGTGTGTGTGTGGTTAACTTTGAATTAACGTTATTTTTAAACATAACATTTTAACTACAATTTCATTAAAACAAATGAATCATCTTTACAATTTTAAAAATAATAATAATAAATTATGGTTTGCCAGAGTAAATTTTGACATTCTGTAGTGGAAACGTAATCTCCTCTGTTTTTGTCGTAGACACTGAATAAACCACACAAGATCCTCATTGCTCCCACTTGGTGTCCATGGTCGGTTGTAATATTTATGCCTTTGCTGCATACAACATCACATGACGATCTTTCAAATAACATACATTCAAAACATACTTCTTAACTTTTATTATTTGTTTTTGAGCCGTGCATATAGCCGGACCAGTAGGTGTATAGGCCTACATTATTCTATTATGTTAGGGCAATAGCGCTATAGGCCTCGGCCTACCTGGTCATTTTGTTTGCTAACGATTGGATGGATCAGTCATAAGCACACGGTTTGCAGTCAAACTTTTTTTTCTAGTCTAATTTTATGAGATTTCGTGTCTTCTTTTTCCTGAAACTGGTTGATTTGCCAGTAATACAATTTCTGTTACTTTACAAAGAGTCGTTTTAGGTGAATATGTGTTCCAGCAGAAAGCGATGACAGCTGATATTAATACTAGAGGGTATGGAGGTGTATTGAATTTTGTTTTGAATATGAAGGACTCATATTTTGATAACTTTTGTTGGGAAAATAGTGATCACTTAACTAACAGAAACAAAAGTCTGTAGGTAAATTCAAATTTACTAGTTATGCAAACATTTTTGTGAAACAATGTGAGACTATTGTGAAATCATTTAACATTATTCGCTTGATGTGTGCTTTTTTAAACTCTGAAATGAACCCACCAAACGCTGGTCCAGACTTTTATTTTATGGAGCGTCGGCTTTAACTTAATAAAGTCTGGATATGAAGTGATGACAGCTTATATTTATACTAGAGAGTGTGCACGTGTTTCATATTTAGATAGAAACATAAAATGATTATCTTGTAAAACCAACTGCGTATAAAGTGAAGCTTCTAAGCTTGGTACGCAAAAGTTTGGAGGCCACTAAAAAAAAAACGGGGGCCCCTGACTACTGCCCTTTCAGCCCACCCCTTAGTCCGCCACTGCCTATATCTGTTGATTATAAAATTGAAATAGTATATTCTTAATATAGTACCAGTACATTAAAATGCGTTGCCTTGATTTAACAAAAGGTTTTTAAAGTACTGCCCTAATATTTAATTCGCCTAAATCGAGGTGGTTTATGAAAAATTAGAACGCTTAAAAATTGGATGCTATAAGTAACACGTTTATACCTTATATCCTATACCATTTTTACTGGTAGATATAATTTTAGTTACTTTTGACATACTTGCGAAATATTTATATATCAAACCGTATTTTTTCTATAGACGCCAGCTTAAAGAACATGTCAACAGTTCTCGACTCTTCTGGTGTTTTAAACTCCATCTTTTGATTGACCTTCTTGCGCTGCAATAAAGTTGTTAATTGCTCCTTGTACTGAACAACACAGGTACCTCACTAAAGAAACGTTGACTTTCTAGTTTACTTCTTATTGAACTAACTACAACACCATGGAGGATATCGTTAAAAATGCTTTGTATAAACGTCTGCGCGAGTACCCGTCCATCTTCCACAACAAGCCAGCAGGGACTGACACGAAAAGACTGAGAGACATCCAGCTAAAGGTGAAGGCAGATATAGACTGTGATGACGACTGCATGGAAGAGCTGGTCTCAAAATATTTTTTTCTAACCTGGGTTGAATTCGAACTCGGAAACTTTGACGAATCTGAAGAACTCAGTAATAGAGCTTTAGTGCTGACCAAAGGAAACAGTCTGACCGCATTGGTTCATAGTGCGTACGTCATGATGCGAAATGGTGATGAAATACAGGCCGAGAAATGTCTAGACAAAATGGACCAGATGAAAAACAGCGACAATTGGCAGTCCCTTATATCTGGGGCTGATTCAGAGCTCGCATATTGTCTCAGCAGACTTGGAGGGCCAAATAATATGAAAAGAACATTAGAAATTTTAACAAACCTTACCGACGAATTTCCAGATAAAGTGTTATGGAAATATAGGCTTGGCTTGTGTCACAGGCGAGCGACACGCGGCAGAATATTCTACACAATGAAATCCCAACTGACGATGGATGATCATGCAGTTGCGGCAACACGTCTGCTCTTTGAAGTGGGGAAGTTGTCTACAGACATGAAGCTTAGAGCCCACGCATATGCCCAGCTTGCTCAGATCAGCTATTTTGATGAAAGACAGTTATCCAGAGAAGAGCACCAACGTAGGTATTGTAACATGAGTACCCAAGATTTTATCCAGATGGCACTGGAGTTAGGCAGCAACGATGTGTTTACTTTACTTGAGTGTGGAAAAATTCTGCGGTACATTGATTATGAAAGGGCAATCGATTTGCTGGAAAAATCAATCGCTATTAAAAAACATGGTGTGGCGTATCATCAGCTGGGACTGTGTTATGTGTATAAAGCTGAAAATAACATTACATTTTCATATTTCAATACTGAAAAGGGAATTGGTAGTGCGCGTAGATTTGATACTAAAACAGATGATGTAAGAAAGATTTTAGAAGAAAACCAAGGAAGACTTCCTGATGAATACCTTAAAACGAACCCACGTTACTGCAATACGAGCACTAAAAATTATTACAGATCGAACTCTGAATACACCCATAGAAGAAACCCCGACAGCCAACTTAGAAGTCAATCGTACGATAGCGGCTGCTGTTCACACAAGACCGACTCTAAACAGGCACGAAACTCCGCATGTTCAGTCCAAAACTTTAGGTTGAAGAAAAGTTGTAAACAACACCGCTTTATTAGATGTCCAATGAGAGAAAAAAAACTGAATATTGAATGCGAGTTTGTAAAGAAAGCAATGTCATGCTATAAGGAATCAATCAGGCTCTCATTTGAGAATAATGCTCAAGCCATCTATGATCTGGGTCTTTTGTTAAAGTCTTGCGAGCAGCTGGACGATGCTGAGAAACAGTTCAACAAAGTGACACATCTTCTGGACTCTATGTCCTTGAACTTCTCAAACAACGAGGATGAGATAACCAGTAGTCATGGACATTTCATTCTTGTCGTTAATGCATATGAACAGGCAGGTCTCTGTCTGCTCAAGAAAGCTGAGTTAGAAAAAAGCAAATGTTACGGCAACGAAAAACAAATCGAACATTTAATTGATAGGGGCGAGTCAAAGCTGGTACAGACTGTGAGTTTGTCGGCCATGTTGGTCAAGCTAAACACCGAGATGAAGGAACATTCGTCCCATATCTGGCACTCACTCAGAACTCTTGAGTTCAGGTATGAAAACGAAGAAAAATCTCCACAGTCGATCAAAAAATTTATTGAATTACTTGGCAAGACCAACCATCACAAGAAAGTTTTGAATATCATCGAGAAGTTGAAGAGTTACAGCGATGATGAACTAGACGACCCTGCTGTCGTTAGTGCTGCACTTGAAAGCTATCTGGCCTTGAAAGACTATGAGTCGGCACTTGCGTTTTTAAACATGGTCAACATGAGACCTAATGTGGATATACGAGAAGTGGGCCAACTAGTCACTTCCGTTCAGACATGCGCAATCGCCAAAAGACTGCAGAAGAATGAGAGCGGTGCACAGCTGATAATGAAAACAGTTTTTCATCAACACACCAGTGGTGGTAGTGGTGGTAGTGGTGATAGTTGTGGTGCATCAGCAGACGAGGTAACTAACAAGTCAGAAGTCATACCACGTGACCTCGACGTCATCGTTATCTATGACGACTCCCACGACGTGGAGAGAGAAGAAAGCGACATCACAAGAACTGCCAACCAACTCTGTCGTGTCTTAGAGAAAACATTTGGTCTCGCTGTAAGCTGTAACTTGAAAGTAAGAAACTGGAGCATGTATTAAAAAACGTTGTAGTTTGGCTAACAGTGTTTATTATTTTAAGTTTGTTTTGTAATGAATGTATAATATTTAGTCTAAACTTAAAGGCAACGGTCGATTAAATTTTGATTCTTTAGAAACATTAATGTGTTTTTATGTTTTACTTAATTTAATGAGTTAATGAATAATTAATTTTACAATGTCAACTTGACCTTGACAGGACTGTTGTTCTGGAGGTGAAAAGATCCATCTGCAGTTTGAGGAACTGTTGAGGGCTAAGGTAGCATTGATTCTCTTGGGAGCAGAGAAACCTAGAGATTGGTGGGTCATTAAATCGTCTGACTTAATTAAGCGTCAGAAAATTGTGAGAAAATTAATTGCGGTGCCCCAACCACCCCAATAAGGTTTAAGGAGATAATTCAATGATTGAATGCTAAACAAAATGTCTACTTCAGAAGTGAAGTTTTAAATCAACTTGTCATTATTATGTTTAGTAACAAACTAAAAATGTATCATTTGATTCTACTCTGCAGCTCCTTTCAGATCTTCCTGGACAATATTCACTACGAGCTGTCCGAGCTTGCTGAAAGAGGTAGGGACGTGCCTACAGTGTTGGTAGTGTTTGCTGCCCAAGGATCCGAACTTGGCGTTCCATCGTTATCCTGCTGTAGACAATTTTGTCTGGACGACATCTTGGCTGACATCAATAATTATTTACAGGAAAAAGAAAAAAATTCGGGCCAGGAAGAGGAAGACGAAGTTCCCATTTTGGAAGATAACTCTAGTGAGTTTAGCAAGGGAGTTAACGCTGTCATGACTCTGTTTTGTTTACTTATAGGCAAGAAATGGCCCCTTTGACCCTTCGATGCCCCGATCTACTAGCTCAGCTCGTTCTGGCGGCCAATTAGTGTTACAACATTTTTGTCCAAAAATACAAAATCAAATTCTTTCCGTTCTTTCTGTCTTTATCTACCTAAATAATCTAAAAAAAAAAAACGAAGTTCTTAAAAATACAGAAAGTTTGGATGTCTTCTATTGAAATTTGAACCATTTTTGATAAACGAGAGAAAAAAAGCCATGCTTCTTTCTTAATGTTTCAATTATTCACATGAAACCAATCTTACTATGTGAATCAAAGCATTGATTTATAAAGTCAATCGTCCGTTTAATAAAATCGTTAAATTACCTAATGTGAAATTATATTTTGTTTGTAAAATTATTTGAATATAAAGCTATTTTTTTTTCTTTTGTGTAAAAACTTTTTTTTATTTGGCATTAAAAAAGTACTATTTAACGAAAAATAAAACAATTTTTTAGTAAAAAAATATATTTATGTAAAACAAAATTTTCTTGGAGAAAAATATGTAAAACAATTTTTTAAAACAAATAATTCTTTTGATAAATGTAGATCTATATTTTCTTTCCAAAACTAATTTTGTATGAAGATAACGTCTTAGTCAAAATAAATAAAGTAAAAAAAAGATTCATAAAAGATGTTTTAATAACAAGAGTGGGTCGTTTGTTTTATAGCTATTTAAATGGTAGTGTATAATTTATTTTCTACTTTTTAGTGCATCATTACATAAATGCTTATTATTAAAACGTTTTTTAATTAAATTTTTCTTTAGTCTTTAGTTTTATTTACACTAGAGTTGCATGACAAAAAACACTGCGCACCTAATGAACGTGATGACGCGAGTCTAATAGCGCGGAATAGTTTGATGAGACAGTCTACTAATTTGGACAAATATTTAATTAATTCATACAAAATTAATTAGGCAACCAATTAAGTCAAATTAAGTCATGTTGCATTGTCTTCATGTCTTGAACCACGTACCAACTACCAGTGTTTCTTCCAGACTTTTTTCTCCGGGGGGGGGGCCTGGAAATTTTCGGGGGGGGGGGGGGGCGGTAGACTTTCTTCGGGGGGGCAGACACTGTTAAAAGTATATATTTTCTGTATAAATTATATAAATTTCATTTCGTTCGGGGGGGGGGCGGTAAAAAAATTCGGGGGGGGGGGGGGGGATTTGACCCCCCCCCCCCCCCCCCCCCCCCCGAAGAGATGCCTGGAAGAAACTCTGCCAACGAACCGTATATATCAGTTAAAAGTGCCTTCAATTTCGCTCGGGCACTTCGATCTAGACAGACTGACGACAGACTGACGACAAAGGAAGTGAGTTAAATAAAAGCTTGTAATAAAAGACCTGTGTAAATAAATACACGAAAATAAAGTGTTGTGTTTATCTTCCGAGCTTTAGTTTATATGAACACATTTCATTTTGAACGTTTTTGTGTAACCTCAGATAAATAAAATACAATAATTTATAAGTGACAACTCTCGGATAAATGGCCCTTTTCTAGTCAATATATCTATTGTTAGATAATCAAAAGAAATCTAGTAAACAGCTCACAATAACACTATGACAACAATTACAAACTAAAATTGTGTGTTAAACATGGGGATGGAATATGGAACCTTTACGGGAACGACGTGGTCTAATGGTAGAACACTCGACTACAATCTTGAACAAAAACGTTGACTAATTCGTGAGAGTCGGAGAATTCACCGAGCTATGTTGGGTACCTGGCTCAGTTTATCAACGTTTGGGCTATTGGACAGAGAAATACATAAACTCTGCTTCATTTGCACTGGCAACCACCCAGTCTGACATGGAACTTTACCCTTTAGTTCACAATGTGATCCTGTATAATGGTAGCTCCTGCTTGACGGTGATAGACTAAAATATTCTCTCCCTCCCTGCCAGGAACCTTATAAAGCTTGTACGTTAAGATGTAGACAGCCGTTACAACGGACTTAGAGATTAAAATGAACAACTTTGGACCACATATTTTTTTTATTTTATGGCTGTGTTGAATCACTTGAAAGTGTGATTGACGTATAGTATAACAATAATGTATTATTTTAGTCTTAGTACCAGTGTGATCTACTTTTGTGTGAATGGATGTGGACAAGTACCTATACGGCTGGCATGTATGTGTGTGGTCTCTATATTTTGATGTTTTGTAAATGTTTTATATTGGAGCATGATTTATATGATGATGTCACACACATTAAATCCATATCAATTGACCTACTTGCAATAAAGCGTTAAAAATATATTTAAAACACTCTACACAACGCAGCGCCAAAAGTGGCGTGTATTGACGTCAAGAATAGCTTATAGCAGAAAAGCTTGTATCGATGTTGTATGTTGGTTTATAATATCAATGTAATATATTAGCTGTTACCTCACTGTTTTATCGAATGGGGGTATCTATACATGACCTCTCTAGATATATACTATATCGTCTCAAGGACTTACGGTGATTTATTACACACATTTTATCACATCGGAAATTCCCAGTCCAGTCAAAAGTTACTTGGAAGTGTGCACCGTGTAGGTTTTGTCCAATCACTACTGTGTAGTTGTATCCAAGGTGACCGACAGGATTAGCACATGTGTTAAATATTCGTGAGTGCTGGTACACGTAGCGTTCTTCACTCAGTCGTGTCACGTGGTACAGCAGCAAGAGGTAATGTAACACGCCATGTTTTTAGTAGCTCTTAATGACCAAATAACTTGTAGGCCACAGTAATCTAGATAGCATGTAAACCTTATGCCTCAATACAAAACGATTATCGATTGATTAAAACTTTTTTAAGGCCGTTATTTTGATAAATCGATACAGAAAGGTGCGCACATTTGTTTAGTCAGGTAACGATTTCTTAAGCCAAAGTCGAGTAGTTCAGTGAAGCGTGACATTAAAATTATACATTAGGATATATATGCATACATACATACATATGTACATATATGTAGAACTAACCATTGCCATTATATTTTCTGATTGGATGATATATGATATTTAGTTGATTTAAAGTTTGTATTTCGGCCACCGTCGGAGCCCGGTATTTTCTGATAAAATTGATAAACATATATTTTTGTTCCTTTTAAAAACATTTTTTTAAAATGTTCTCATTTAGACCTAACGAAATAGAGTTCATATGTTTCTTACCCTCGGCACGCACTATGCTGAATGAAGGTTCATTAACTGGAGAGCTTTAGAGAATGGCTTTAAACTGTGTAGGCTGTTTTCCTGGGCCATGAAACTCATCTCCTAATGCCCATCCCATGTTGTCTATCCCATAATGCCCATCCTGTAATGACCACCCCATAAAGTCTATAGGTAGCTGAAACCATTGGCAATTAAAAAACAGGTAGAACGAAATTAGCATGGCGTAATCGAAGACTTACATTCTCAATCGATAATACCATTGTTGGTATACCACATTCTTTTTTTTTAAATTAAAAATGTATTTGCAATTTTCATAATATAACAAGACCTATACAGAAAGCTAGATAACAGACATACCACCCACAATCATACAAACACGCGCACAGCAGGTATGGAAAGAGATCGAACTTGTCGGAACACATTTAATCAGTGTGTTAGATAGGCTTAGATTATTTGAATGAGTCTGAACCAGAACTGGATTGTATAGGCTACTTATTAGTTACATGCCGGATAGTTGTATTTCATTGTTTAATATTGCTATTACTTTATACTTAATACAAACATCTTCGGTTTTTATTTAAAAGATAATGCACAATGATATTTAAGTAAAAATGGCAAACGCAATACTGCTAAGACTTAAACACATCTATCATAGCGGCGTGTGAAAGGTACAAATCCATTGAATTTTTTGCAGCCACAATGTACACTATGAGCAGTGAATCGGAGAAGTTTCTTCAACTTCTTGACGAGTTCCCCTGTATGCTGACCATCAAAAATGTCAACATTCGCAAAACTCGACACAAAGAACTGGATAAAAAACTTGAAGATGAGTTGAAGGATGATGACGACAACGATGACGAGACAATAATGAAGTACAACTTTTACACGTGGCTGAAGATAGAAATGGTAGATGATACGAGCGCCAGGGAACACAACGAAACTGTTTTTCAGTTGACCAAAGGCAGAAACGTTACCACTTTATTTTTCAGAATCAAACTTTATTTGAAGAACGGGAAAAACAAAGAAGCCAGCACAATTATCAGTGATATCGAAAACCTTAAAAAGGGGCAGAACGTTGAGCTCATAAAATCAGAATGTCAGTCAGAACAGGCCTACGCCTACAGTCGTCTGGGTGGTCCGGACAATCTTCCTCGGGCGATTCGTTTATTTTCAGGAGTAGTTGACAAACATCCCGAGAAGTTTTTGTGGAAGTTTATCTTAGGGTTGGCCTACAGGAGAGCTATACACATGGAGATGTCCCCGTCGATACAGCCTATGGTGAAGACAAAAGCGGACAGCCTCAGACAGGCTGTTCTATTTCTTTTTCAGGTTGGCCAAGAGGCAGAAAATAACGTGCTCAGGGCTCGCGCTTACGCAGAACTGGCCGTTTCCTACGGTGAAGCCCAGAGACTTTGTCCCACTGATGTGCACCATCTGTTTCAAGGCATGCGTGTTTCAGATATTATAAACAAAGCCATTGAACTTGCTCCAAGACACGCTAAAGTACTTAGCGAATGCGGAAGAACGCTGATGTTGGAAGATTTAGACAGAGCGATTGATTTATTAGAGAAATCTGTTCAAATAAGGAAACACTCAGTGTCTTTTCATCATCTAGGCTTGTGCTATGAACGTAAGGCTTCTGAAACCTCTCTGTTTGACCAATCGACAACCAGAGTCACACCAGCGGACAGCCACATCAGAGCACAACATCCTCCATTGGATGCAAATAACGATATCGTGAATAAAGCGATAAACAGTTTAATAAACGCCATTGATATTTCCATGGGCAGTAACTATCCGGCCATTAGTACACTCGGGTGTTTGTACAGGAAGTGTGGGCAGTACGAAGAGGCAATACAGCAGTTTAACAGAATCACCAACTCCACAGAGAACGCAGATACCAATGTGGACTATCTATATTCTGTCATCTCTGCTTATGAAAACGCTGGTTTCTGCTACATTAAATTATGTCAAGACAACAAAGCAGAAAACTGCCTGCTAAGAGCTGTCAGCACTGCCGCGGAACTAGCGACTAGAGACCCGGATGTGGCCAGGTACTCTTCTGATGTCTGGCAAGCCATGAAAACGCTGGAATCTGACTACGAGCAAGAGAATTCTCCAAAATCTATTAAAAAGTTGATTGAACTATTCTCTACCATGCGCCAATATGAACGAGTGCCACCAGCCATTGAAAAGCTAAGAGCCTTAAGTGAAGAGGGGCTAAGCGATCCTGCTGTTGTCAAGGCAAGGGTGGAGAGCTTGCTCGCCTTAAGACAATACGAATCTGCTTTTTTTGTTATTACTTTCCTACACTTAAAAAAAGATTTTGACTCTAAGTCAAGTGGTTTAAATTTAAGTGAATTAGAAACCAAAGTCCTTTTGCACACAGCTGCTAGCAGGCTTCAAGAAGGTAAGGGTGATGCTCGATTAGTTTTACGGAAGTTGTTGCATTCATACATCTCTCAAGCAACAGATTCAGACGCCCTTACTGGGGGCACACCCACAGTATCACACGCTGCTGAAGGCGCACCCAAGGACAAGGAAACAGAAATACCGGAAGTGATGATTTACTACGACGATTCGATCGATGCAGAAAAGAATATCAGTCGTGCCACGAAAGATGCAAAACTTCTAAAGAGATTGATTAATGACGTATATGGCGTCAAAACTGCACTTAACCTGCAGGTAAAAATCTAATACATGAAACTCACATTTCTTGTTAGGAAGATTTTCTTTATTTTAGATGATTAGAGAGGGGTCGGCGTGGTCGAGTCGGTAAAGCTCTTGGTTGCTAAACTGAAAAGTCTCGCGTTCGAACCCCTGGGCAGATGAGGCTAGTTAGCTGGGGACTCCAAAATCAAACAATTGCTGCATTGTAGTGTGTTCTTGGTTAGACAAAGGCTATGGAAGCAAATCCAAAACGAAAAGCAGGCTGAAATCGGCTTCAATGGCCTCGATGGTGCATAACCAGTTGACACATATCCTTAATTGTGATGGAGGCGTGGTCGAGTCGGCAAAAAGCTCATGGTTGATAAATTCGAAAAAGTCTCGAGTTCAAATCTTCTGGCAGATAAGGCTCGATCCTTCCAACACTAAAAATTAAGAACGAAGAAGAAGAAGAAGACAGAAGAAGAAGATGATTAGATTTTAGATATCTGAGCTGAGATATTTTATCGTGAAGCCTTTTAGGAAGTCCGCTGAGATATTTTATTGTGCAGCCGTCAAGAGCTCTACATTCATCATATTGTCCATTGGCGCTTCTCCCCAACCCCCCTTTTCCCTGTCCCTGCGGACAGTAAACACACTTCAAATCTTGTCTAATTCTAAAACTTCACGGCAGTGATTACTTTAATACATATCACTGGCCATGACGACCAACTAGGGAACACATTGAACTCTGCACGCCACACAAGTGGTTACTTTAAATTAAAGAAAGTATGTGTTTGCTAATATTTTATTACATCACATGACTAGTTTTAGCTAGTTGAATATTAATTAATTAATTATTACCGAGTATTTTGTGTGGAACATAATTCGTAGAACTTCTTGATATCGAAGTTATGAAAAGGTGTAATTTAACATTTTTACTTTCTCGTATATACGAAGTATAGAGAAAGTCTTGTAATCGTGCAAAAAAAAAATCGAGATTTTTGCAAATCTCGACGTTTTGCATCTCACTGATACGGAAAAACATAATTTTGCAATCTTGTCCGCAGTGGCGGAACTAGAAAAAAAAGGCTCCCCCGCAAAGAAAAAATTAGGGCCCCCTATATATATATATATATATATATATATATATATATATATATATATATATATATATATATATATATATATATATATATATATATATATATATATATATATATATATATATATCCTAACTGAGTAATTTAGACTATTTCATTGCAATATGTAACCATTCTGAGAAAACAAACCGGAAAAAACTTAGTCTAAACCAATCATGAGTTTACAGTGAAGCACACATATGATGGTCAAAAATATATAATCACGTTAGCTTGATTCGTGAATGGTTTCTCGCGTTATGTTTATTTTTTTCATTTTTGGCTTTTATAATATCAATTTTGAAAACATTGATTTTTATAGCTATAGTATTGTATAGTACGTCTTATTTAAGTAACAATTCAGAGAATTAATTGCTTTTTAATATACATAGTACAAAACTATTTAAATGAGCTTTGTGGGCATCCCTATTTTAAAGAAGGGCAGTAAGTCATGGAAGTAGTGTGAATGTTTACCTACCTTTCAAACTATAGCTCTTGTAGATTTTAAATTATTAACAATCTCTGCTATAGTAGACCTGTTGTTGTTTTTTTTTTACAAAACCACTTTCAAGATGCATGAAAAACATAATTTTTGAAAAAAATGCATTGTTTTTTGGTCGGAACTGGGCCCCTAAACGTCCTGGGCCCCCCCGCATTGCGGGGTCTGGCGGTATGGTAGTTCCGCCCCTGCTTGTCCGTATGTCTGTGTGTCTGTGTGTGTGTGTGTCTGTGTGTGTGTGTGTCCGTGTGTAAACACAATAACTTGAGTACCGTTACAGCTAGGTTGATGAAATTTCATATATAAGTATTTTATCAAAATCGTAGATCCGTATCAACTTTTGAGCGATTTCCGACAACCGGAAGTGGTACTTTTTCTACTTTGAATTTTTCAAAAGCCTATAACTTGAGTACTATTTCAGATAGATAAATGAAATTTCACATGTAAGTAAAAGATCTAATTCTCTACCTTCTGTTAAATTTTGAGTAATTTCCGTTGACCGGAAGTAGTAATTTACGCTACTTCCGATTTCTCAAAAAACTAATGTAAATTTTTAAAGTACTAATAATATTGCGCACTATTATGCGCTTTTTTATTTCGCGTTCACTTGGTGTGCAATTAATTTGTCTAATGGAAATGTATACAATACGATTTTCTCGGCCTAAACTTTTATAACTTTTTACTTTATCTAATTAAATTCTAATTAGATTCTAGATATAGATCTAGATCTCGATTCTAGATCTAGACTAGATCTACGGAAAAACTATACGTAGTCACTAAGATCTGGATTTAGACTATCTACTAAAAACAACATAACTACCATTGAACAGCCGGGTTTTTTGTAGAAATCTTTTAAGTCTCTTAATTTTAAGTCTCTTAATCAGCGAGTGCATTTAATATGGTATGGTTACCGGTGAAGAAATGAACTATTTCATTTAAATCTATAGATCTATTCATAAAAACCTAATAAAAATAAATCACTTTAAAAACAAGAAGAATACCGTGGAATAGCCGAGTTTTTAACGGAATCATTTAAGTCACTTAAGTTAATCAGTGTGTGACTGTGTTATGTTAAATGTGTCGGATTTTTAGCTAATTAGTCATTTCTTTGCTTTGTCAGTAATATCGTTCAGCGTGTAATAAAGCACATTGCGTTTTGACCCTAACTATTTTATAAATTATTTTTCTAAACAAGTTCAACATTTTAAAATATATAGGCCTATGATTCACGTGAAACGGGTACCGATGGCTAGTTCTACTTATAAAAGTTGGAAAATTAAAAATGGATTAAAAATCATTTCTCTATCCCGTGTCACCGTAGTGTTATATAAGAATATATTTTTAAAATAGAATAGTGCAAAATGATATAAACGCTTCTTACTAAAACTTTTTTTAATGAATTTTATTTTCTACTCGATTATATTTTTATAAAAACTGTAATAATGTGTAATTTGGGTTATGTCACAAACTTCTATATTTCTATACCCCGATTGCATTGGAAGTGCTATGCCTGTTTCTGTCATATAAGAACATATCCTATGTAATACGTGCACAATCACGATTTTACAGCCGCATATTGTGTTCGGTTATGCTGGTGTGATCGATGTAGGCCTATATGTTTAGGATTGAAGTTAAACATAATTGGACTAACAGTAGACTATATGGTTAGAGAGTATTTGCTGCTTGTTTTGGCTGTAATAAAATATGTGTAATGCCTGCATGACGCGGCGAAAGCAGAATGACGTAGTAGACAAGAAATAAAGAAAAATGCATGTTTTCGTTGCTTGCACTTATGTAGATAGAATGTTATTTGGTGAATCAACAGAACATTGCAAGAACGTTCTTCTCCTTTGAGTTTTATCGATATAGTAGAGCTTTCACTCAAACTTCGCTAACTATACACATACATATATGGTAATATTTGAGTCGCCTGCCGTCTTACGGGTGAGTAGGCCTATCGCTGAAATGGGTACAAGCCTACCGGTCAGAATATTATTCAGGGGTTGAATACATTTGACTGGGAAGGCGTGTTTGTACAGCGCAGACTGCACTAAGGCTTTTACGTTTAAGGCACAGAAACAGTTATGTTAAGCCAACAGCCACAGCACAAAGTTCTATTGTGAAATTCCTAGATAATTTACGTACGTCTGAAATCTCGAGATGGCTTATGCATAACTATGCTCGCATGGTCGAAGATTACACCTTCTGTTCTGTAGTCAGTGTAGTTCACTGTATTTGAGTTCAACGAGTTGTAAACGACACGTACTTCTGTCTGTCTTAACCACATATATTCTAAAATGAGGGTAAAGAGACAGTGTAGCTTAGCGCGGAGAAAAAAGATACAACTTTCAGTGTCAAAACTACGTTGTGATACGTCGTTTAAAGATGTTGAGAGAAATAAAAACAAGCTGAACATGAGAGTAACACGTTCTTTAGAAAGTTATCTTAGCACAGAAAGAAAGAGGAACAACGACTCAAAGAAACTAGCTAGGACACAAGAGCTTTATCGCACTGCAGAGAAGAAGAGGAACAACGACTCAATGAAACTAGCTAGGACACAAGAGCTTTATCGCACTGCAGAGAAGAAGAGGAACAACGACTCAATGAAACTAGCTAGGACACAAGAGCCTTATCGCACTGCAGAGAAGAAGAGGAACAACGACTCAATGAAACTAGCTAGGACAAAAGAGCCTTATCGCACTGCAGAGAAGAAGAAGAACAACGACTCAAAGAAACTAGCTAGGACAAAAGAGCCTTATCGCACTGCAGAGAAGAAGAAGAACAACGACTCAATGAAACTAGCTAGGACAAAAGAGCCTTATTGCACTGCAGAGAAGAAGAGGAACAACGACTCAATGAAACTAGCTAGGACAAAAGAGCCTTATCGCACTGCAGAGAAGAAGAGGAACAACGACTCAATGAAACTAGCTAGGACACAAGAGCCTTATCGCACTGCAGAGAAGAAGAGGAACAACGACTCAAAGAAACTAGCTAGGACAAAACAAGCATATCGCACCGTAGAGAAGAACAGGAATAAAAACGCAATGAAAATATTAAGAACTAAAGAGGCATATCGTTTAGCTGAGAAAAAGAAAGACCTTCAGTCTAAGACAAGTCTCAGGAAAAATAATGTTTATCGTATAGCTGAACGAGAGAAGAGCAATGGTGCGATACAGTTGAGAAGAGCCCAGCATGATTATCGTGAAAGTGAACGGCTAAGGGACAGAGAACGGAAAGAAAAACGAAGACATGATTATTTCTTTCGCGCTAGAGAAAATTATATCTCCTCTTTAAGAGCGATTGATTCAGTCTGTAGTAAAAATAAACTACAATTCATTAAAGACCGATGTTCAATGCCAGATAAGGTTTGTTGTTCTTGTGAGGGACTATTTTTCAATCAT